AAAATGTGTGATCTGGAGGCTTTATTTTCATGTAACTTGTTAGTGACATGAAACCTTCTGAAAACTTCTCAGAATTCTCAATCTCTCCACTCATTTTGCCTTTTGATCCCACCTACTCTGGTTCTTGGTCCCACCCATACTAGCTTTGGGGCTTTGTTCTGACTCCACCACTTTTATACTCTGGTTGCACACACTTTGTGGTTCATCCCTTGACACAACCATTAATGGCCAGTATGCCCTTTGAATTGTGGATTCCTCTAACAAACATTTGACAGAACTGGATATATTTAGCCTGAAGAAGATTAAGGAAATACATAATAGCAGTGTTTACAATTCTAAAACTGTCTTTCAGTTTTCCAGAGAATGGAGTAGAACACAAAATTAAAGTAATTCAAACTTTTTTCAGGAGTACAAGAAGCAATGTCAAAATATGGCTGCCTTTTTGCTAACAGCATTTATTTATATGGACTTGGAGATCCCGTGATAGCAGAGTTCAGCTAGATAACATCCAATTCTGTGGTTGAATCCACAGAATCATGTTTTTTGGGTCTCCTAACCTGTGACACCCACTCTCCATGCCAGTAAGTGTGTCATGGGAAGAGGGCCAACATGTCTGCAACTGTTATTCAAAAGTATAATGCTGTCAAACACGGACTTCCTGTTATTGATGTAAGAATTAGTTATTCTCTTCCCTGAACCTTTTTATTTCTCCCTATTTATATTAGGATTGATTGATTGATTGATTGATGTTACTGGATTTATACATTACCCTAATCACAACTGACTTTGTGGCATACAGTACATCTCACCTTTGTAAGTCAGGTTAAAACAATACAATTAAAACATATCAGTATCAACATCTATATGGCACTGGGAATATTAATCAAGACATCAAGTCAACTAACCAAAAAGAGACTTTCCAGTGCCAGAGGGAACAAGGTCACAACCTTCCAGCCCTCAAGGCCTGATGGAATGACCACATTTTAATGGCTTTCCTAAAAACATCTAGAAGGGGGACCTTTCAGATATTGGGTGGAGATGGGAGATGCTGCTAAAGACATCCTTCTGCATCTCGTGTCCACTTGTGGGCTTCACAGAGACACCTCTTTACTTCTGTGGAAAACAGGATTTCGGTCAAATCCAGTAGATCTTTTCCTATGTTCTTTAAGTAGGAGAATCCCTATCAGTGATTTCTGCAGAAAGAGCAGCTACAGAGAGGAGCGAATGCATCTAATAGGTCACATTATTATTTTCTGATATCCTGTGTAGAGGTTTGCACTGGTGTGGAGATCTGTCCAACCAAGTCATGTTAAAGTCCTTCAGATATTTCTGCGTCTCTCTGTGCATGGCAGTTACATGGACGTTCAGAGCAAAATAAACGATTGCCCAGATGGCTGGATTGTCAGGCATAATCTGGTCAGAACTAACTGATGGGTGTCTGCAGTTTGGCAAAGGGAACAGCTGAGCAATTACGGTATTCCCTCGGTGCCTGATTCAAGAGTGATATTAAGCCATACATAATTCAAAACTAGCTTTTTGAATTACCCTTGTCCCATCATCCCATTTATCCTGAGCAATAAGAACAGCAGTAAATCTTGAACAATATTTATTGGCTGCGTTTGGAAGAGAATATATTCAAGTCAGGTGTATTCTGCATTTGAAAAAAAAAGGATTGGAAATAAGATGTGTGAAGGAAATGAATTCTGCAATCCATGAAACAAATAGTCGCAACCCGATATTTTTTAGGAAGAGACTGTGTAGAGGCCAACTTACCAGCTATAATTGTACTCGTGCCACCCGCAGCATTCGCTGCTGATAGTAAGAACAGTATTGTTCCATTTTGCGTACTTGGGCAGATATCACACGCTATTCTATGCAAGCTAAGATTGCTTGTCTACTTTGTAAGCTGACATACTGCCTACATCCCACCAAAGAAGAAGTACATGCCATGGACTGGCACAGACCAGGATGTTTTCAATGCTGTAAGCATGTTGAAAATGTTTCCGCCATGGTAGGCTGCTGATATAGATGAGAAATGTTAAAATATGGATGTCGTCTGCTTATGGAGTGGTGACTTGTTTAACATGCGTGTAAAAATGGCGTCTAAGCTGTTGATTAAAGGAGGCTGTTGTTATTCTGCGCAAGTGAGTGCAAAAATCCAAGATGAGTTTGTTCAACTTTGAAACTCTTTAACTCTCAGAGAACTGTAAAGCTCCCCCCACCCCTGTCCCATGGTTTTTAGATCTTTAAAGACAGTTTTACTTCACTGGACTTTCAACCTTAGCTAAGCTGGGCAAAGTTTAATTAATTAAAGATGACATATTGTTATTATTGCTCTTCATAATTCTGGTTATTTTATTGCTGCATCTAAAATTTTAATTTGTTGTAACCTGCCCCGAGTCTTTTGAGTTGGGCAGGTGATAAAAACTGTTAACGAACTGACTAACTAACGAAAGTTGCATAGTAAGGTGCTTGTCAGAACTTGCAGTAAGACTTGATACAGAACAGGGTATGCAGACTGGAAAGTGGAAATGGGAGTTGGGAATGTCAGGAGAAACATCTAAGTAAGTGGACTGTAGTGGAAATAGGTTACTTAAGAAAGGCGTGTGGTAAATTAAGAAGCAATATGGCAAATTTTGGAGGAATATGGCAAATATGGTAAATTACGAAGCAATATGGCCAGGAATGAATGGTGCTAGATGAACGTAGACTGAATTAAAAAATTAGTGACTAGTAAAAAAAATCATTTACTAGTGATTACTAAAAAAATTAGTGATGAAATACATAAATACTGTATCTTGATATGGTCTGACCATGTAGAGAGAATGAATGAGGACTGAACCACAAAACAAATATGTGAAGGAAGAGGGAATGAATCAAGTGGTAGGGAAAGACTGAGAAAGACATGGTTGGGTGAAGAAAGACATGGTTGGTTTCCTCCTGAAAAAGAGAAGTTTAAAGAACAAAAATCAGTAGAGGAGAATCTCTGTAGCTCAGGGTTGAACTGTAGAGTTCTTGATGCTCTCTGAGCTTGGCGGTTTGCCTGCAGACGTTTCATCACCCAACTAGGTAACATCATCAGTGCAAGTATAGTCAGCAAAGCCCATGCTCACTTGTACTGGTGATGTTACCTAGTTGGGTAATGGAACATCTGCAAGCAAACAGCCAAGCTCAGAGGGCACCAAGAATGCCACAAAAATCAATGTATGAAGTGAAGTCTGGATGTGATGGAAGCCAGGATGGTGTGGAGAGGTATAGTGAAGAGTGTTGGTGTAAACTAGATTTAGTTATTTTTTTTATTTCTTACATCTTAACTTTACTTTCTTTGGCTGGCTATTTCTGACTCCTGTGCTCTGCAGAATGCTGTTGAAAGGGAAGAGCATGATGGGTCCATGGGTCTGTATGAGGCTCTGCGGGAGGTACTTCTGAATCAAGGGGTCACATTTCCTAAACATTCTCCTGTCCCTGTTCCTCCAGGAGCTGCCATCCCAGACAATCAGGAATCACAGCATCATTTCATAGTTCAGTTTGGCTCTAAGATATCATAAATCTAGATACTACTAAAACTCTCATGGTGTTTATCTGTTTGTCTGTTTGTACCTTCAGGTTAGCCCAAACGGTGCATTATACCACAACAATTTTTGAATCAAGGTA